TGCGCTGCTTTTTAGGATGATCTAAGGGCTCTGGCGCCACGTTGCCCAGACTGTTCTCAAACTCCTGGACTCAAGCCATCTCCTGCCTAGCCTCCCAAAGTGATTGTAGCGTGAAGCCACTGCACCTCGCCGCAATTCTTTTTTTTTTTTTACAGAGTCTCACTCTCACTCTGTCTCCCAGGCTGGAGCACAGTGGTGCGAACTTGGCTCACTGCAACCTCCGTTTCCTGGTTCAAGTAATTCTCCTGCCTCAGCCCCCTGAGTAACTGACTACAGGTGCGTGTCACCATGCCCAGCTAATTTTTGTATTTTTAGCAGAGACAGAGTTTCATCATGTTGACCAGGCTGGTCTTGAACTACTGACCTCAAATGACCCAGCCACCTCAGCCTCCCAAAGTGCTGCGATTATAGGCATGAGCCACCGCACCAGGCCTTTCTTTTTTCTCTCTCTTTTTTTTTTTTTTGGCAGCAGGGTATTAGATAGGGTTTGGCTGCAGTTGGCAGACATGAGGCTCCCCAGGCCTGCCAGACTCAAAGCCACCGAGCTGACCCCTTTCGCAGTCTCAGGAGAGCAGTGTTCAGTTTGTCCAGATGCAGAATGGGAACGTCCCATCAGCTCACGGGTTCTCCAGGCTGGCGTGTTGGTGTCCTGGGCCAGGAGCTGGAGGCAATGCCCCATCGTCCTAGGATGGGAAAGTCCAGCAGTGGCTTCTCCAGGCTCTTTCTGTTTCTTTGAGCGTGTTGTGTTTTTGCCAGTGAGGGCCTGGGGCAGCACCCGTGAATATACCCTGTGTGCCCGTGGATACACCCTGTGTGGGATGGAGAGAAGGAAGAGACCGAGAGGCCAAGGGGAGGTGGATGGCAGGGGAGGAGAGATGGGGTGGGGGCGGGAGTGAAATGTGGGGATAGACAGGGCCTCACCCTCTACGGGCCTCTCCTCAGGCCGGGGGATTTCAGGAACAGTGGCTCATGCCTATAATCCCAGCACTTTGGGAAGCTGAGGTGTAAGGATTGCTTGAGCCCGGGAGTTCAAGACCAGCCTGGGCAACATAGCAAGACTGTGTCACTACAAATTTTTTGTTTTTAAACTCTGGTGTGGCAGCACATGCCTGTAGTCTCAGCTACTCAGGAGGCCGAAGCAGAAGGATCACTTGAGGCCAGGAGTTCCAGACTAGCATGGGCAACATAACGAAACCCCATCTCTACAAAAAAAAATTTAAATTAGCTGGGCATGGTGGTGCACACCTGTAATCTCAGCTACTCAGGAGGCTGAGGTAGGAGGATCACTTAAGCCCAGGAGGGGTTTGGAGGCTCCCGTGAGCTATGATTGCACCACTGTACTCCAGCCTGGGTAACAGAGTAAGACGTCTCCTCAAAAAAAAAAAAAAAACAGGGAATGGGAGGATCATATTTCTATTATGTGTTTGTTACTTCTGTGTTACTGTAATAGCATACATTTAGGCTTGGTTTACAGCTAGGCATGATGGCTTGTGCCTATAATCCCAGCACTTTGGGAGGCTAAGGTAGGCAGATCACTTGAGGTCAGGAGTTCAAAACCAGTCTGGCCAACATGGCGAGATCCCATCTCTGCTAAAAATACACAGATCAGCCAGGTGTGGTGGCTCACGCCTGTAATCCCAGCTGTAATCTCCCTGTGATCAGCAGAGGCATGAGAATCACTTGAACCCGGGAGGCAGAGGTTGCACTGAGCTGAGATCACGCCACTACATTCCAGCCTTGGTGACAGATCGAGACTCTGTCTCAAAAAAAAAAAAAATTAGGATTGGTTTGCTTGAAAACGGCAAGAAAGAAGAGACTCTTAAGGGTTTGTTCCTCCTGGGAAGTCGATGGTTCTCAGACTGGGAGACTCACAGCATCATTTTTGCATACAATGGCGAGGAGACCCGCTGGGACAGGGAGCTCTTCTTCAGGGCCTGCTCTATGCCAGGAGGGAGGCTGCTGCTCCACGACACACAAAGACCAGATAGCAAAAAGCTACGCAACAGGGCTGGAGAGCAAGAGTCGTGATTCATGCAGTAGAATCAAAGGCTTCAGCAGGCCAGGGTGAAATGCAGCCACATGCCCGGTATGTCTGGGCATATTAAAAGGAAGATTGAGGCCACGCCCAGTGGCTCACACCTGTTATCTCAGCACTTTGGGAGACTGAGGTGGGCAGATCACTTGAGATCAGGACTACTGAAATACAAAAATTAAGGCTGGGATCGGTGGCTCACACCTGTAATCCCAGCACTTTGAAAGACTGAGGTGGGTGGATCACCCAAGGTTGGGAGATCGAGACCAGCCTAACCAATATGGAGAAACCCCGTCTCTACTAAAAAATACAAAATTAGCCGGGCATGGTGGCGGGTGCCTGTAATCCCAGCTACTTGGGAGGCTGAGGCAGGAGAATTGCTTGAACCCAGGAGGTAGAAGTTGCAGTGAGCCGAGATCGCGCCATTGCACTCCAGCCTGGGCAACAAGAGCAAACTCTGTCTCAAAAAAAAAGAAAAGAAGGCCGGGCGCGGTGGCTCAAGCCTGTAATCCCAGCACTTTGGGAGGCCGAGGTGGGTGGATCACGAGGTCAGGAGATCGAGACCATCCCTGGCTAACATGGTGAAACCCCATCTCTACTAAAAATACAAAAAACTAGCCGGGCATGGTGGCGGGCGCCTGTAGTCCCAGCAACTCGGAGGCTGAGGCAGGAGAATGGCATGAACCCGGGAGGTGGAGCTTGCAGTGAGCCGAGATCACGCCACTGCACCCCAGCCTGGGCGACACAGCGAGACTCCGTCTCAAAAAAAAAAAAAAAAAGAAAAGAAAAGAAAAGAAAAATTAGCCAGGCATGGTGGCATGCACCTGTAATCCCAGCTATTCGAGAGGCGAAGAAAGGAGAATCACTCGAACCTGAGAGGCGGAGGTTGCAGTAAGCCAAAATCACACCCCTGCATTTCAGCCAGGGGGACAGAGTAACACTCTTGTCTCAAAAATAAAATAAAATAAAAAGGGAAGATCGCATTTCAGGTGGTTTAAGGATAAACTCGTGATAGACATATAGCCCATCAGATGTGTGAAAACATAGGGAAATAAAGATTCACAAGAGAATATGTGTAATTATAGTACAGTAATTGGCTCTACTATATACATGTATAGTGCTGTACTGGTTGAAGGAGAGCTTCCTTCAACAAATTCCCAGCCTGGGCAACATGGTGAAACCCCATCTCTAGGAAAAAAAAAAAAAAAACATAGCCAGGCTTGATGGTGCACTTGGGAGGCTGAGGTGGGAGGATCGCTTGAGCCAGGAGGTCGAGGCTGCAGTGAGCCTTGATCGCACCACTGCACTCCAGTCTGGGTGGCAGAGTAAGACCCTGTCTCAAAAAAAAAGTTTTTAAATTTTTTAAAAGCTACATTTTGTCCAGGCGTGATGGCTCACGCCTGTAATCCCAGCACCTTAAGAGGCCCAGACAGGAGGATCGCTTGAGCCCAGGAATTTGGGAGCAGCTTGGGCAATGTATCAAGACCCCATCTCTACAAAAAATTTTAAAAATTCTCACACCTGTAATCCCAGCACTTTGGGAGAACAAAACAGGAGGGTCACTTGAGGCGAGGAGTTCGAGACCAGTCTGGTCAACATAGCAACCCCATCTCTATTTTATTTTTAAAATTAAAAAATTAGACAGGTGCAGTGGTATGTGCCTATAGTCCCAGATACTTGGGAGACTGAGGCAGAAGGCGGAAGAATCGCTTAAGCACAGAAGGTCCAGACTGCAGTGAGCTCTGATGGCATCAGTTCACTCCAGCCTAGGTGACAGAGCAAGACCTCGTCCCTTTAAAAATACAAAGAGAGGCCGGGCATGGTGGCTCGCCCCTGTAAACCCAGCACTTTTGGGAGGCTGAGGCAGATGGATCACTTGAGGTCGAGAGTTCGAAACCAGCCTGGCCAGCATGGTGAAACCCCATCTCTACTAAAAGTACCAAAAATTAGCTGGGCTTGGTGGTGCACACCTGTAGTCCCAGCTCCTCAGGAGGCTGAGGCTCGAGAATCTCTTGAACCTGGGAGGTGGAAGTTGCAGTGAGCTCAGATTGCATCACTGCACTCCAGCCTGGGCGACGGAGTGAGACTCCTTCTCAAAATAAATAAATAAATATATAAAGAAATAAAACGCAAGAGACAAACAAACTAAAAAACCATCCTGGGCACCTGCCAGGTCCTGGGCTTGCAGCCCAGTGGTAAATGCCACCAAGTCCTGCCCTGGAGTTGCCAATGTCATCCAGACAAAAATCAAAATATCATGTCAGGTAGAGATAACTGCTGTGACAGGACGTAACTCAGAGTGAGGGGGAGAGAGGGACAGGAGGAACCTGGATAAGGAGGTGACACTGGAGCGGCGACCCAATGAAGTGAGAGGGACAGCCACTGTGCATAGTGTGGGGACAGGCCAGGCGCAGTGGCTCACAGCTGTAATCCCAGCACTTTGGGAGGCCAAGGCAGGCAGATCACGAGGTCAGGAGTTCAAGACCAGCCTGGCCAACATGGTGAAACCCAGCCTCTACTAAAAATACAAAAATTAGCTGGGCGTGGTGGCATGCACCTGTAGTTCCAGCTACTCAGGAGGCTGAGGCAGGAGAATCGCTTGAACCCAGAAGGCAGAGGTTGCAGTGAGCCGAAATCACGCCATTGCACTACAGCCTTGGTGACAGAGGGAGACTCTGTCTCAAAAAAATTAAAAAGACTATGGGGACAGAGAAAAAGTCATGCAAAGTCCCTGAGGCAAGAACATGCTTGTGTGTTTGAAGGCTCACAAGGTGCCCTTGTAGCTGGTACAGGGTGAGTGAGTGAAGGATGGTGAGATTGAGGCCCAGGAGGTTGCAGGGGACCAGGCGTGGTGGCCCACGCCTATAATCCTAGCTCTTTGGGAGGCTGAGGTGGGAGGATTGCTTGAGCTCAGGAGTTTGAGACCAGCCTAGGCAACATAGTGAGACCCTATCTCTATAAAAAAGAAAAATAGGCCAGGAGCGGTGGCTCATGCCTGTAATCCCAGCACTTTGGGAGGCCAAGGAGGGTGGATCACCTGAGGTCAGAAGTTCGAGACCAGCCTGGCCAACATGGTGAAACCCTGTCTCTAAAAATACAAAAATTAGCCAGGCATGGTGGTGGGCGCCTATAATCCCAGCTACTCGGAAGACTGAGGCAGGAGAATTGCTTGAACCCGGGAGACAGAGGTTGCAGTGAGCTGAGATCGCACCACTGCACTCTAGCCTGGGCGACAAGAGCAAAACTCTGTCTCAAAAAAACAAAAACACAACAAAACAAAAAAAATCAAAGAATAAAAATAAAAAAGTAGCAGGGGCCAGATCACATGGGTTTTGGGCCAGCTTAAAGAGTTTGAATTTTATTTTATTTTTTAAAAATTCTTAGAGACAGGGTCTCATTCTGGTTTCTTTTTGCTTTCTACTCCCACTCCCTCAAACCATAAACCAGTGGCACCCAGGCAGCTTGAGGTTAGCTGCCAATTCAATAGCAAGTCCTCAAGAATGACATTTTTTATGGTTTTGTGCAGAAGACAGCTTGTACTCATGATCATTGGTTTTTTGGGTTTTGTGGGTTTTTGGGTTTTTTTTTCGATTTTTTGAGACAGAGTCTCACTCACTCTGTTGCCCAGGCTGGAGTGCAGTGGCGTGATCTCGGCTCACTGCAACCTCCCCCTCCTGGCTTCAAGCGATTCCCCTGCCTCAGCCTCCTGAGTAGCTGGGATAACAGGCGCATGTCACTACGCCTGGCTAAATTTTGTATTTTTAGTCAAGACGGGATTTCACCATGTTGGCCAGGCTGGTCTCAAACTCCTGACCTCAAGTGATCCGTCCACCTTGGCCTCCCAAAGTGCTGGGATTAGAGGCGTGAGCCACCACTGCCGGCCTTTTGTGGTTTTTTTTGAGAAAAAGTCTTGCTCTGTCATCCAGGCTGGAGTACAGTGGTGCTATCTCGGCTCACTGTAGCCTCCACCTTCCAGGTTTAAGTGATTCTCCTGCCTCAGCCTCCTGAGTAGCTGGAATTACAGGCATGAGCCACCATGCCTGGCCATGAGCATTTGTTTTAAGAGATAGGTCTTTCTGTAGCCCAGGCTGGAGTGTACTGGCACAGTCATAACTCACTGCAGCCTTAAACTCCTGGGCTCAAGCAATCCTGCCTCAGCCTCCTGAGTAACTGGGACGTCAGGGGCACGCCACCACACCTGGCTAATTTTTGCATTTTTTGTAGAGAAGGAGTCTCGCTATGTTGCCCAAGCTGGTCTCAAACTCCTGGGCTCAAAGCAATCCACCTGCCTCAGCCTGCCAAAGTGCTGGGATTACAGGTTGAGCCACCGCACCCAGCCATGAGCAGTTTTTAAAGTCATGATGGCTTTCTCCACCTGTCATTTGGAAAGGGAGGCAGGTTAGTGCAGTGGCCGATGGGAGAGGCCGTCTGGTGGGTTTGAGGCCAGCTCCTCCTGTTACTCCCTGTGGCCTTGGCAGCCGGCTGTGCTATTTGAGCAGAAGCACTGTCGCTGCTCGAGCCTGGACTCAGGCTCTGCCCAGCTTCGGCCTCTCTGAGGTTACTGTTGGGAAGTCGCTTCCCCTTTCGGAACCTGAGTTCTCCCATAAACAGGAGGGGCCTAAATGCAGTCCGAAGCCTTTTCTAGCTCCCGAGACTGTGGTTCAAGGCAGGGCTATGCTTCCCGCTCCCAGCCTTGGCCCCGTGACCTCAGCTGTGTGCCTGGCACTGTACAGAAGCCTCAGAGATGCCCACCGCCAGAGCGGGCACCAAATCCTCATCTACTGGGGACCCAGGGGGTGACTTCCCTGAGAGTTTGGCCTTTGGGCTTACTCCCAGGCAGAGACTCCTGGGTGTTGCTGCTTGATTACCCCTGTGACAGAGAGCTCATTACCTCTCCAAGTCCATTACCTCTCCAGAGAGCTCATTACCTCTTCACTCCGTGGCCCACCTTGCCATCCCCCAACAACCCCCCTCTGGCCAGCATGATTTTCCCAGTGTCCTCTACCCACCACAAACCCCAGCCCCCCAACAGGCTTGCTCTAACAGGACAAGTTGTGCTGAAGATGGGACCTTTAGAAGCAGTGCTGTATGATAAAGAAGGTTGACTCATGTCTGACAGGGCTTTCTGGAGTCTGTGGAGCTAAAGACATTAGCAGAATACAAAGCTGGGCTTGGTCACTGGCGCTCCCGACTGCAGTGACACAGCAGGTCTCAGATGTGAGCCGTAGATCTCAGACCTTTCCAGCTCGGAGTTCTTGCTATGTAGTGGGCCGCGACTGTTTCTACACTTCATTTGTTTATTTATTTAGAGACAGAGTCTTGCTCTGTCACCCAGGTTGGAGTGCAGTGGCGCTGTCTCAGCTCACTGCAACCTCTGCCTCCCGGGTTCAAGCGATTCCCTTCCCTCAGCCTCCCAAGTAGCTGGGATTATAGGCGCCTGCCACCACACCCAGCTGATTTTTGTATTTTCAGTAGAGACAGGTTTCACCATGTTGGCCAGGCTGGTCTCAGACTCCTGACCTCAAGTGATCCACCCTCTTCAGCCTCCCAAAGTGCTAGGCTTACAGGCATGAGCTACTGCACCAGACCTTGTTTCTACACTTTAAACCAGATCCATGGGAGGCCCCCTGAGGCCGCCTGCTCCAATCCCAGGCAGCGACAATTGTCCAGTGTCCGGGGAGCAGGAGTGAGATATCAGATGGACCCGTTCAGGACTGGGCGGGTCTCACTCCTGGCTGGATCCTTCAAGCCCAGCGCAGCCCCCTAGATTCCACATGTGGAGCGGCAGGGACTCCAGGCCTGAACTGTGCAGAGCCAGGAAGGTCCACTGCAGGGATGTGCAGACCGAGGCCCAGAGGGGAGGGCTGGGCAGTCCCAGAGACGCTTGGAGGGACATCTGTGATAGCCCCGCTTGTGTTTTCCAGGCCCGAGCTGCTCACTGAGGGAGTCCAAGAGCCCATCGTGGAGAGTCAAGGTACCCAGCGTGGGGTCGTGGGCTGTGGTGTGGGTGGGCAAGGGAGGGCCCCAGGGGCCTCTGCCACCAGCCTCTCCTCCTGCTGCCTCTGTCCTGCTCCCATCCTGGCCCTGGCATTCTCCCCACACCCCTGCACTGGGTTTCCCCTAACGATGCCATCTTGGGTCCCAGGAACTGCCTCCTCACTTGGCTTCTCTCCCCCTGCCCTGCCCCCAGAGAGGGATTCCGGGGACCCTCTGGTGGACGAGAACCTGAAGAGACAGGGCTTTCAAGGTAAGGTTGAGCTCGGGGAGGTCTGTTGTCCCGGCACCATGACCTTGATCTGGTTTGGGTTTGGAGGGCCAGGCTGGAAGTGGGGAAGAGCTGGCCCCCAATCTCAGGGCCTAAGGAACCAGGCAAGCCAGGTTGGCAGCCCAGGCCCGGCCGTACCGTGCCAGCTCTGTGTGAGAGACTCCAGGGGAGAGGGGGTGCCTACAGGTGGACGGTGGGGGGTGGGAGGGTACAGGGCCCAGGAGCCTGCGTGACCCCCCAGCCCCACCCCGGGAGGTAGCTGACACCCCCACTCCTGATTCAGCAATCAGCTGTGGTCTTTGAAATCACAATAGGAGCCAGGCGCAGCACCTCACGCCTGTAATCCCAGCACTTGGGGAGGTCAAGGTGGGAGGATCACTTGAGGCCAGGAGTTTGAGACCAGCCTGGGCAACATAGTACCCATCTCTATGTCTATTTCTAAGAAGAGAAATCAGAGACCGAGTGCAGTGGCTCATGCCTGTATTCCCAGCACTTTGGGAGGCTGAGGCGGGTGGATCACTTGAGGCCAGGAGTTCAAGCCCAGACTGGCCAACATGGCGAAACCCCGTGTCTACCAAAAAAATACAAGAATTAGGCGAGACGGCATGTACCTGTGATCCCAGCTACTCAGGAGGCTGAGGCCAGAGAATCTCTTGAACCTGGGAGGTGGAGGTTGTAGTGAGCAGAGATCGCACCACTGCACTCCAGCCGGGGTGACAGAGCAAGACCCTGCCTCAAAAAAGAGAAAGAGAGAGAGAGAGAGAGAGAGAGAGATGGTGGCCTGGGATCCCTCCAGCACATGCCGGCACTTGTTTGTTTGTTTGTTTATTTGTTGTTATGGAGTTTTACTCTTGCTGTACAGGCTGGAGTGCAATGGTGCGATCTCAGCCACTGCAACCTTCGCCTCCTGGGTTTAAGCAATTTTTGTGCCTCAGACTCCTGAGTAGCTGGGATTATAGGCGCACACCACCACACCAGGCTGATTTTTGTATTTTTTTTAGTAGAGACGGGATTTCACCATGTTGTCCAGGCTGGTCTCAAACTCCTGACCTCAGATGATCTACCCGCCTCAGCCTCCCAACGTGTTGGGATTACAGGTGTGAGCCACTGCACCCAGCTTTTTTTTTTTTTTTTTGAGACAGAGTATTGCTCTGTCACCCCGGCTGGAGTGCAGTGGTGTGATCTCTGCTCACTACAACCTCCACCTCCCAGGTTCAAGGGATTCTCTTGCCTCAGCCTCCTGAGTAGCTGGGATTACAGGTACGCACAACCATGCCTGGCTAATTTTTGTAGTTTTAGTAGAGATGGAGTTTCACCTTGTTGGCCAGGCTGGTCTCCAACTCCTGCACTCAGGTGATCTTCCCGCCTCGGCCTCCCAAAGTGCTGGCATTACAGGCATGAGCCGCTGTGCCCGGCCACACTTGGGGGTTTTTAATGAACACTCTCTGGGTGAGGGTGGCTTGGTGGTTCATGCCTGTAATCCCAGCACTTTTGGAGGCTGAGGCAGGCGGATCACTTGAGCTCAGGGGTTTGAGGCCAGCCTGGGCAACATGGCGAAACCCCATCTCTACCAAAAACACAAAAAAGAAATTAGCCAAGTGCAGTGACACACGCCCGTGATCCCAGTTACTCAGGAGGCTGAGACAGGAGAATCGCTAGAGCCTGGGAGGTGGAGGTTGCATTGGGAGCTGCCAGGCCCGTCCCCTATGTCTGTGGGCACTGCCCGTCCTCCACCATCTGCTAGATCAGCTGGGCTTCTGTTCCCTCCCTTGTCTCCAGCCCCCCAGTGACTTCATGAAGCCCCTGCCCCCTGCTCGCCAGCCCGGGGCACAGGACTCCGCACTCCATGGTGTCCCTCCCCTCCGGGGTTTATTTATTGGTTTGGTGGTTTTCAAATGTCAACAATTAACTTAATTTCCAACTCATCACTGTTGTGGCAACAGTGCATGTCCTTCTGGAAAACACACATCTCCATCAAGACGTTGGTGCTGAAGGACCTGAGGGGCCCACTCCAAAGATCCGTTAATTGCCGGAGAAGGAGTTCCCCATAATTAGAAAATCATCTTCCTTAGAAGTCACCAAGTGCCTTTTCACTGAACAGCCCAAACCCATAATCGTTTTGCGCTTTGCAGAAAATTACGACGCGAGGCTGTCACGGATCGACATCGCCAACACGCTAAGGGAGCAGGTCCAGGACCTTTTCAATAAGAAATACGGTAAGCAGCGCAGAACCCCCGGGGAGGGACACGCAGCTGCTGTGGGCAGAGAAGTGGGAGGCTTCCCAGTTCCAGCTGAGGGCATTTCTGGGGAAACAGTTCACCCCTTTACACGTATTTCTTGAGCATTTACTACATGCCAGGCACTGTCTCAGGCACTGGGGATATTGCCGTGAATAAAACAGACACAGTCCCTGTACTCATGAGCCTTGCAGACCAGTGAGGTGAGACACACTTTCAACTACTACACACAGAATTTAATAGACAGGGGCCTGGCTCGGTGGCTCATGCCTGTAATCTCAGCACTTTTGGAGGCTGGGCGTTGGATCACTTGAGCTCAGGAGTTCGAGGGCCAGCCTGGGCAACATGGCGAAACCCCGTCTCTACCAAAAATACGAAAAGAAATTAGCCAGGTGCAGTGGTGCTACTCAGGAGGGCGAGGGCAGGAGAATCGCTTGAGCCTGGGAGGCGGAGGTTGTAGTGAGCTGAGATCGTGCCATTGCACTCCAGCCTGGGCAACAGAAGCGAAACTCTGGTCTCAAAAAAAAAAAAAGCGGGGGGGGCATACAAACATGGGAGCATATTGTGTTGTGCTTCTTTCTTTTCTTTTCTTTTTTTTTTTTGAGACAGGGTCTCACTCTGTCACCCATGCTGGGTGGCAGTTGGCTGTGATCGATGGTTTATTGCAGCCTCAAACGCCTGGGTTCAAGCAATCCTCCTGCCTCAGCCTCCCAAGTGACTGGAACTACAGGCAGGCACTAACATACCCAGCTATTTTTTAGAAATTTTTAGTAGAGACAGGGTCTTGCTGTGTTGCCCAGGCTGATCTCGAACTCTTAGACTTAAGTGATCCTCCTCCTTGGCCTCCCAAAATGCTGGAATTACGGGCATGAGCCACCATGCTGGCCTTTTTTTAATGATCTGATCAAATAGCTCAGATTGTAATGCCTATACCTTTCCACGGTGCTACATGAGAGCTTTCTCGTGCCATTCACTCTCCTGCACGCACGTCTTTCCATCACACCCCCACAATTCCACGTACACACACCCCACGCTGCCTCTCACTCCTGACAAGCAGGACCCTGCCTCTCACCCACAGGGGAAGCCTTGGGTATCAAGTACCCGGTCCAGGTCCCCTACAAGCGGATCAAGAGTAACCCTGGCTCCGTGATCATTGAGGGGCTGCCCCCGGGAATCCCGTTCCGAAAGCCCTGCACCTTCGGCTCCCAGAACCTGGAGAGGATTCTTGCCGTGGCCGACAAGATCAAGTTCACAGTCACCAGGTACTCAGGGGGAAGGGTGAGGGTGAAGAGGCAGGACTAGCTCAGATGGGGGCTTATACCTGCGAATCCTTAGCCTTTCCCTAGGTCCTGCCCTCCCCACTGGACAAGGCGGCTCTCCTGGCACCATCTTGGGTCCTGGGGGTGGCCGGGAAGGGACTGCAGGCCAGGTCGAGTGCAGGGAGCCCTTCAGAAGTGGGACTGGTCACCCCACCATGGCAAGGGCAGCCTTCAAGGGCATCTTCAACCTGTTCAGCCACACCCGCTCACTGCACCCCCAGCCCCCGGGAAAGGCATTCAGCCCCTATCAGAGGGATTTGCCCAAGGTCCCAGGGCCAGCCAGGGCAGAGCCGGCACAAGGTCCAGGTCTGCGTCCTGCAGAGTGACACTGCCAATGCCAGCACCCTGCCACATCGTCTCAGTGTCCCACGCACACAGAGCCCCGGGGCGGCTTGTTAAAATACAGATTCTGCTGCTGTAGGTCTGGGGTGCTCCCAGGAGAGACCGAGGCCACTGCATCCCAGGGGTGTCTTCCTCATCCCCCAGGTCCTCCTTCTGACACCCTTGCCTCTGTTTCTCTTCTAGGCCTTTCCAAGGACTCATCCCAAAGCCTGGTAAGAGGCACTGGCTGTGGAGGGGGCACTGGGAATAGGGCCTGGTCATAGTGCTGGGGGCTGGAGCTAAGTCTGCTGTGGGGCACAGGTTCTGCGGTCTGGGAACAGAAGCCAGCCAGGCCCCTGCCTTTTTTTCTTCTTTTCTTTTTTTTCCTGAGGCAGAGTCCTTCTCTGTCACCCATGCTGGAGTGCAGTGGCGCGAACATGGCTCACTGCAACCTCCACCTCCTGGGTTCAAGCAATCCTCCTGCCTCAGCCTCCTCAGTAGCTGGGATGACAGGCAACTGTCACCATGCCTGGCTATTTTTTGTATTTTTAATAGAGACGGGATTTCACCATGTTGGCCAGGCTGGTCTCAAACTCCTGACCTCAAGTGATCCGCCCATCTCGGCCTCCCAAAGTGTTGGGAGTACAGGCAGGAGCCACCACACCCGGCCTAGGCCCCTGCCCTTCTGTTTAGCCACCTCACCTGGGCACCTGCCCCAGGTAGATGGAGGAAGGCTAAGCTTGAATGTGGCCCCAGATCCTGGAGCAGAGAAAGGGGTGGTGGTGCCGGTGACTTCTAAGTTTTACCCAGTGGGGATTCAGGAGGGAGGAGGGGCCGGGCCGGGTCAGTGCACCTGCTCCTCCTGATAAAGGGGGTCTGGTTGACCTCAGTGAATAGATGAGGTTGGAGGCAAGTGGGTTCCTAACCACAGAAAAAGGGGTGTCTGCATGGGGGACCGCAAGCTTGTTGGTAAGATGTGGGGGGTGCCTACCCCACCCTAAACAGTACAGTGCCTCTTCTGACCCCTTTTTTAAAAATGTATTTTATATATATATATTTTGAAACCAAGTCTCACTTTGTTGCCTAGGCTGGAGTGCAATGGCACTATCTCTGCTCACTGCAACCTCCACCTCCCAGGTTCAAGCTATTCTGCCTCAGCCTCCCAAGTAGCTGGGATTATAGGCACGCACCACAACGCCCGGCTAATTTTTGTATTTTTAGTAGAGCCAGGTTCACCATATTGGCCAGGCTGGTCTCAAACTCCTGGCCTCAAGTGATCCACCTGCCTCAGCCTCCCAAAGTGCTGGGATCACAGGCATAAGCCACCACTCCCAGCCTCCTGACCCTTTTTAAGGCACCCATCCACTTCCGTCTCCACCATGGGCTGTGTCCTGGCCTCCCAAACCCAGATTTGCAGGGGCTGTCCCTGCAGAGCGACATGCCACGTGGTGAGCACTAAGGGCTGGCTAGAGCCTCCAGGGCGGGCCAGGCACAGTGGCTCACACCTGTAATCCCAGCACTTTGGGAAGCCAAGGCAGGAAGATCAAGTTCAAGACCAGCCTGACCGACATGGTGAAACCCCATGTCTACTTAAAATCCAAAAATTAGCCAGGCATGGTGGTGCGCACCTGTAATCCCAGCTACTCGGGAGGCTGAGGCAGGAGAATCCCTTGAACCCAGGAGGCGGAGCTTGCAGTGAGCTTAGATCGCACCAGTGTACTCCAGCTTGGGTGACAGGGCGAGACTCAGTCTCAAAAAAACAACAAAAAAAAAGTACTTAGGGTACGGTGATGTGGCGGCTGCCGACAGGCCATGGGAACCCCCAGAAGGGGGATCAGGAGGGTGAGGGGTAGTTGGAGAGGGCTTCCTGGAGTAAGGAAGGCCCTGCTTGGGCCTCAGGGGAAGATGGGACTTTGAGAGGCAGAGAGGAGGGTGGGATGTGTCTGGCGGGGTGAACGGCAGGGGTTGGGGAGTCACTGGAGGCCAGAAGTGTGTTTCCGGAACTCTCAGAGGGGCAGAATAGTCAGATGATGTTAGAAAGGTGGAGCCAGTGGAAGCTGCAGCAGCGCAATGCAGTGAGTGTGGCTGCGGCAGACACCCAGCTGAGAGGTCACTGGGTTTCTGGCCCTGCACTGGATGGTTTATGTGGGTGCCTTTCACACATATTTCGGGAGGTCCTGCTGGGGCAAGGCGGTGTTCTAGGAACCAGGGTTACAGTGGAGTGCAGACAGAGGAGGCATCTCATCTAGTCTTCGTACCTAGGAGGTAGACGCTAGAGCCCACTTTACAGAGGGGGAGACTGAGGCTCAGTGTGAGTGATGTATTAATACTCTGTGTCCCAGGGCTAGCAGGTGGCCGTGACCCCAGCCCTCAGGGATGGACCTGCCAGCCCCTTTCCAGGCATTGGCACCCAAGCCAGGTATCCGCCTGGAGAACCAGCTCCACACTTACTCATGCCACTAGTCATACTGGGCTGGGAACATGTACAGGCTCCTCAGAGTCTCCAAGAGTTCACCAGAGGTCACTGAGTGCTACTTCTGCGCCAGAATGGAATTTTCTCAAATGCTCCCTCGCACGGTCCCCAAAGCCTGGCCTGGGCCAGCACCAGCAGTTCCAAGGTGAATTGGAGTGGAAGCTGGGGTCTGCTGGGGGAGGCAGAGGCAATAGCAGGCCCCTTCATCTGGAGGCAGGTGTCCCAGGGCAGGTGGAGGGGTGGCAGGTAGTCTGCAGAGAGGCAGGCGGCTGGGGCAGTGCCCAGGAGTCAGCCTTCAGGGTCCCAGGCAGCATATGGGCCGTGGGAAAGCGCCGTTCGTTCAAGTCCCTGTACCCGCCTGACTAGCTGTGGGAATCTGAGCCTTCACTTCCTTACCGCTAAGACAGACAAGCACACCTGCCTCGCCATGTGATCTGAAGATGGAAAAAGATGGGCAGTGTCAGGTGAGCTGGGAGGACTGTTTTCCCCCAGTTGCCCTTTTTTTTTTTTTTTTTGAGATGGAGTTTAGCTCTTGTTGCCCAGGCTACAGTGCAATGGCGTGATCTCGGCTCACTGCAACTTCCGCCTCCCAGGTTCAAACGATTCTCCTGCCTCAGCCTCCCGAGTAGCTGGGATTACAGGCACCCACCACCATGCCCAGCTAATTTTTTTGTATTTTTAGTAGAGACAGGGTTTCACCATGTTGACCAGGCTGGTCTCGAACTCCTGACCTCGTGATCCGCCCGCCTCGGCCTCCCAAAGTGTTGGAATTATAGGTGTGAGCCACCGCGCCCGGCCCTAGAGCCATTCTTAACAGGGTTTGTCCCCCTGGAAACTTCCAGAAGCCTCACCCTCCTGGGAATTCCCTGCTGGGTGCCACAGTCATCTCTTCACTGCTTGGTTTCCACTCTCCCATCCTGGCACTGACATCCCACTGTTAGGCCTTCTTCAAGCATGGACCTTCTCATGCTCAGTCTCTCTGTGGTGTGGAAACGTCTACTGGGTGGTCCTCACAGAAGGTTCCAGGCCCTGGCGCAAGCCCAAGGGAAGCAATGATCCAAAATGGACTCAGATAAAGTTTCTGCCACTATGCATTGGGGGCTTTTGGTTGGAGTCCAGTTCAATTTTAGAAAAATAAAAATACATGTCTCGCACTTCTGAGTTTGCAGACTAAGGTCCATTCTGTATTTGCTAACGAGGACAAAAAGAAAGGCGACTGGGTGCGGTGGCTCACGCCTGTAATCCCAGCACTTTGGGAGGTCAAGATGGGTGGATCACTTGAGGCTGGAAAAGAGTTCGAGACCAGCCTGGCCAACCAGCCTGGCCTTTCACCATGTTAGGGTGCCTAAAAATACAAAAATTAGCTGGATGCTGTGGCACACACCTATAATCCCAGCCACTCAGGAGGCTGAGGCAGGAGAATCTCTTGAAACCAGAAGGCGGAGGTCGCAGTGAGCCGAGATTGCGCCATTGCACTCCAGCCTGGGCAACAAGAGTGAAACTCCACCTCAAAACAACAACAAAGAAGAATGGCTCTAAACCAGGAACAGTGGTTCACCCTGTAGTCCCAGCACTTTGGGAGGCCAAGGTAGGAGGATCGCTTGAGGCCAAGAGTTTGAGGCCAGCCTGGGCAACATAACAAGACCCCGTCTCTACAAAAAATTTAAAAATTAGCCAGGCACAGTGGCACACACCTATAGTCTCAGCTACTCAGGAAGCTGAAGCACCACAACACTCGGCTGAGTTTTGTATTTTTAGTAGAGACAGGGTTTCGCCATGTTGGCCAGGCTGATCTCAAGCTTCTGATGTCAGGTAATCTGCGTCGCCTCAGCCTCCCAGAGTGCTGGGATTACAGGCATGAGCCACCGCACCTGGCTGAGATTGTGCTTTTTTGAAGATGAATCAGTCATTTAATTGCGAGAGCCCCACTGCACCCTGAAGCTGTGGGCCTCCCCACTGAAGGGTGAGAGTACAGCCACTCCTGGGCTGGTTTTGTTCTGGGTCAAAAGAGATGACTCAGGCCAGACGTGGTGGCTCACACCTATAATCCCAGCATTTTGGGAGGCCAAGATGGGAGAATCACTTGAGCCCAGGAGTTTGAGACCAGCCTGGGCAACACAGCAAGATCCCATCCTGCAAAGATATTTTTTAAAATTAGCCAGACATGGTAGGGACGAACGACTGTATTCCCAGCTACTTGGGAGGCTGAGGTGGGAGGATCCCTCAAGGCTAGGAGTTGAAGGCTGCTGTGAGCCATGATTCCAGCATGCATGACAGAGTGAGATCTTGTCTCTAAAAAAGAGAGAGAGAGAGATAAGCCCAGAATGTCTTTAATGTTTTCCCAACTGGGGACACCACATCTGCCCTCAGTGCCTCAGTTTCCCCACTAAAATCTAGAGGCCCTGCCTGCTCTGACATGCTGAGTGGCGAGCAGGCGTCTGGCTGGAGAGGAAGCATACTTGGACTTGGACCAAGCCTCAGAGGGCAGTGGGTGAATTTCAGGCCTCAGGTCAAGAGAGCTGTGGGCCAGGGATTTCTAGGGGCCAGGGGTGCTGGAAGGCACCAGGCTGAACTGGAGGGGACCTGGTGGGGGGCCTGGGGTTGCAGAGGGATGTGGGGTGCTAGATCCCCCAACTGATACCAGAAGGAGCTCCAGCCCTGCCTGCAAGGGGTTGAGATAACTCACGCTCGACCCTGGGGGCTGAACACCATTGGTAGCTGGGTAGTTCTATACTGCCCAGCCAGGCCACACCCCACCTG